ATCGTAATCAAAAGCAAAATATATAGCTCTATGTAGTGATTGATTCAGGTAAGATCTTGATCTTATTGCTTGTTGTTTGCGTTGAAATCAGTACAGAAGAAAGAAAACGAGAGAAACAAGCGATTTCTTCACTCGAGAATGCTTCACTCTCAAGAGGAATCTACAAGATTTTAGGTTACGCAAGAAGAGATTCAAAGCTACGTACGTACCTACACGAGTCTCCTACAGGTTGATGAAGAAGACGAAGAAGAATCAAAACCAGAGAGAGAAATCGAAATGGTGAATTCAACAATTATTTGTTTTCTCATTAGACAGACCAATGGAAAGTTGACACGTATGAACTCTTAAAACCAAAAACAATTCTAAACTAAGGTACGTTTCTTACCAAATTTTATATTTTTAATTTGATTTGGGCAATTTTCTTAAGGATTCATGGCCTAAGAAACTCTAAAAACCCTCCCATTGGGCTTGCTCTTAAGAGGCTAGGTTCAAGAATTTTTTTCCCAAGTATCAAAATAGCAAAGGCTTTCTATATTGTATGGTTATAAATTTGAGTCCATAAAACCGAATTGGGCCCAATAGATATACTGTGTTAAAAACAAAAATCAGTTATTCGATTTTTTGGACGTATCTTGGTGTGATTTTTAGGCCGACTAGTAAACGGAGAAGCCCAATAGAAATCCAAATTCTGTGTTTTAGGATTATTCATTTTTTCTGACTCGTGGAGTTTTTTACTGAATTTTAATCGGATAATTTTTTTTTTGACAAAAATTTGGTAAAGGACGACCGACGAAGTTAGGTTAAATTCCGTTTATTCAGTTGGACTGTACTTCGTTTAAATTTCGTTTTGGTTTCTGTCAAAATAATTGGTTTAAAATTCGGTTCATACGTCCCGGTCTAATCTAAAACTAAAATCTAAAATTTTGTAGAGATTTAGAAATAGAAGAAAGTAAATGTTGTCTGAAATTACGTCCATGTTCATTATTCCCAGAACTTCAAATCAAACATTTAAAACAAAGAACACATGAGAACTGTTTCAGAATGAGAAAGAGACCATAGATGAATGAACATGAACTGATATTAGAGATTCCTTGAAGCTCAAGGTTTCTTCTTTCATGGTTTCCAAAGGATTGTGGATTCAGCAATCATGGAGGTCACAGTGTAAGGATCCATGTTCGAAGCTGGCCTACGATCTTCAAAGTATCCTTTTCCAGCCTTCTCAGTGTCACGCCCAACCCTAATCGATGCCCCTCGGTTTGCCACACCCTGTATAAACCGGTTTAGTTAGATTGTGGTTTAGGGTCATGTGATATGAAAACTGTACAATGGTGCTGTGTTTTAAAAGCGGCTTATTATGAGTTTAGTAAAGATTCTTACCCATAAGAAAGTGTTGATATCGGCGGTCTCATGTTTTCCGGTGAGACGACGCTCATTGCCTTCACCATAAGCAGCAATGTGTTCCTTGTGACGCAATCCAAGCTTCTCTATCGCTTTCTTTATGACCTCGTACCCTCCATCTTCTCTCATCGACTTCGTACTGCACAAAACTAAATCCCAATTGAGAAAAAACAAAAACACAGAGCAAGAATCATAAAAACAAGAACCAGAGCAGACCTGTAATTTGTGTGTGCTCCTGCACCATTCCAATCTCCCTGAAGTAGAAAACAAAAACAGAGTAATTGAGTGAATTTTACTGTACCAAATATTTTTGTTTATTTTTTACTGTTTGGTAGAAAACAAGAAAACAAACCGGAATTGGTTTAGGGTCTAGAGACAGAACAACTCCAGCCAATTCTGTGATCCTCTGTTTTCACATATCCAAGAAACAAAGTCATAAAACAGAGGTATATAAGAAACAGAGAGAAAGTGTGTATGAATCGCCATGAGTATATATACCTCGAGGATGTAACGAGCGACCCAGACCTGATCAGCGGCAGCGATTCCAACGGTAGGACCGACTTGGAACTCCCACTGAAACCCACACAAAATTAGTTTCAAGGATTTGATTTCTTGTTCTGAAATTGATAAACTCGATATTGAATCAGAAGAACAAAAGGGTAAAAGTAAACCTGGCCGGGCATAACTTCACCGTTAGTGCCACTGACATCGATTCCGGCGTAAAGACAAGCTTTGTAATGAGAATCTACGATGGCTCTTCCAAAGGCTTTGTCTGCTCCAACTCCACAGTAGTACGGTCCCTGTTTTTGTTGAGGAAGATCTTTTTTTTCTTAGTTTGATTTTGAGGTCGATATAAATTTTTAGATTGATCGCCGGAAAAAGCTTTACCTGAGGACCTGGGAAACCGCCGACCGGCCAACCTACCGGCCACTTAATATCCTTTTGCAGCAAAGTGTACTCTTGCTCAATTCCGTACCTGAATTTCAATATTTGAATTTTTTTAAACACCTTGATAATATTGAAAAAAATAAATAGTCGATTAAACCAAACATGAAAATATTATCGCACATGATCAATCGTATAACGCTTTTTCCTAGTAAGAAAAAACTTTATCTAGGTGGAGTGTTCACATGATAATCATAAATCGTGCAACTAAGGGAAACATTTTCTGCCTCATCTCAGAATCCAAGACGAGTTTTGACTTCGCCACAGATTGCTCCGAGCTAATTTCCACTTTGATAACCCATCTGAATAGCCTACCTTAACAGTAGAATTATAACTTTTGCAGATTGCCTCGCAAAAAAGGCAAGTGCACGAGGTTCTTTATTCTCCCATGTAAGCACATCGGCTCTAGATTGGCTCTCTTTAGAAGAAAGTCTCCATCCGATTACTTAATAAAATGGTGTTTGACGGAAAAAAAAAAAACTTACAATTTTGAAAATATATTTTAAATGGTAAAAAAACAAATACTTCAAAAGATGGTAAACCATTACATTTCATAAAAAATATATATACCATTCATTATTGTATTTTATTTTAGGTACGATTTTTAAAGTACTTAGTACAGAGACAGACGAACGAATACGTTGACAGTTTTATTCTTATATTATATAGGTCAAATTGTTTATATGTTTATAATTTTTGGTTCTAAGAAATATATAAACTATGCAAAACTATAGTTTTGGAACGATAATTAGATTATCATTTCATTTTAAAATATTTACCATGTTTCTTCGGCGACAACACTAGGGTCGCTAAAGATCTTAGCGGCCGCATGCCTTTTGTTCGTCGGAATCGGCTCTCCGGCCGGTGTATATGCGTCACACATCACCTAATACCCAAATCAATCCCAAGAATAAAATATATAAAAATTTAAACAAAATTTAAAAACTACACAAGGATTGAGTTTAAAAGAAAATTTCATAAAGAGATTGTGTTATTGAGATTTCATTTACAAGGATGTTGTTGCCTCTTCTGAAGGGGTCTTTGAAGATAGCTTGAGGGCTAAAACAACAAAAACAAAAAAAAACCCAAACTAATATTAATTCACGATTTACAAATTTCATTAATTATTAATTGATAATTAAAATTTTAAACGTACTAGATGATGACTTCACTGTCATCGCCGGGAGCTTGGCCGGTGCTTGAACCGTCGTAGTTCCATTTCGGTAACTCTGATGGATCCTTCACTGGTCCTGGCAAAGTCTGCAATAACAATATAATGATTTCCTTTTCTTAACTCTTTTTAAAAAACATTTACAAAGTCTGCAATAACATTTTTTTTTTGTTTAAAAAACAAAAAAAAAGTAAAATTTATATTTTTATAGTTACCCTTGCTTTGCTTCTCATATCCAAGCCCGATCCACCAATCCTATTCACCAAACACACACAAAATCTTTCAACGTAGTAGATGAGACAAAGGTTTAAACTTTTGACTCATGTTTAAGAAAAAACCTCAAGAATATGATATTTTTTTTAGACACAAACACAAACTCAAAGCAAACTTTTTGATCTATTATTATAAATGAAAATCATAAAGATACTATGTTTTTAATACGCAAACTGAACTTCAAACGCTGAAATTGACAGAGATCAAGGAAGAAATTTACGAACCATATGTACTCGGCGATGATCTGGTCAGTGGAATCGGAGAGATCGAGATTGATTAAATCTGCAAGTGAAGACATTTTGTAGGAATCTGAAAGAATAATAGACGTTTTTTTTGGTAACACTAAAGAGTTTCCTGCGAGTATTGATATATAGGGAGGGAGGTGGGGGTAGTAGGTGTGTGCTTGACTTTGCTGCTATGCTTTGGAAATTGTTTTTGGTAAAAAAAAACGGAGGATGCGAAAATATCGGGCTATTATTGGAAATGCGAATTATCAGGAGATTCTGGCTTTATAAGATTCTATATTTGCAGAATCTTTTTTTTCTTAACATCATTTGCAGAATCTTTTTTTGTTTTGCCGTTTTTCTATTATCACATTAGTTTCCATATAAATAAACATGATTTTGTTATAAAAAATAAAATGTTGACCTGATGTTCGAGCACCGTATAAAGTTTTTCACCTAACCCTAGTTCTCGTTCAATACACAATTACCAAACTTTGGTTGGAATATGTAAATTCCAACGGAAATAATAAATGGATTAGAATCATTTATATCGAAAATAGGAAAGCTAACGGGACAATTGACGAATCTTTTGAGAGAGAGTTTAATATGGGAACTAAAATAAATTAGGTTCGTGCACTAATTCTTTTCCTAAGTGGGGAATTGAGATATTTTAGAGCATTTTGGAAGAGTGCGTTCTTATATACAGTACCTAGTTTATGTAAATCGGAAGAAAACAAAATAAGTCCAAGATTTAGTTTATTTTTATCAAAAGATAATCCGGTTATTGTGGACACCCTATTTGTTTGCTTATGAAATTTTCTCTTCAAGTATTATTTTTTAATCTGATTTTTATTTTATTTTATTTATGATACTTATAACTTTTGACCAATATTTTCTCAAAGTCGTGGGGCTCAAACATTTTGAGTGCTGAGCAATAAGCTTCCACTAATTTCGAGATCCAAACTTTTATCTTTTAGAGATTCTTGTACTATTTTAAGGAATCTCTCACAATTATAATAGATTAAACGATTGTTGTTCTTAGGTAAACATAAACTTGGTATTTTTTATTCATTACATAACCGGACTTTATCAAACTGGGTCGGAATCATCAGAAATGCAATTCACTATAACGAGGAAGAAGAGAAGGTTCTATGCAATTGTGTGATGCCTTGGGAACCAAAAAAAGTGGTTTTGCCTTTGAGAAAATCAGAGTACCAGTGAGCAGAGAGTTTGGGAGATCTCTTTCGATGAGGATCACTGAAATTGACAGAGTATAATCCAAAACTAAGCTCGTATCCACTTAGTAACTCGTACAAATCCATAAATGACCATACGAAGTATCCTCTCGTGTCTGATCCATTCCTACACGTAATAATGTTTTTTTTTTCTTTATTACACAGACAAGAGCAGAGGAGAGAAGATCACAGTAAGAAACACTTTACTAATTACCTAACGGCTTTGAGTACAGCACCAATGTAAGCACGCAAGTACTCAATCCTACGTGTGTCCTTCTGTTGCAGCTGCAAGTCTGGCTTCATAGGTGTACCTATTCGTTTGCATTGGCAAGAGAATTGAGAAGACTTATACAAAAAAAAAAAAAAAACAAGAGGGGGAGAGATCAGAATAGAGAGAGGGAGACCATTCTCAAGAATGTAGACAGGAGGATTGCCATAGGCCTGCTTAATATGTTCCAGGACACTTTCCATAGCCCATGGAACAATATCATACTTGTCCAAACAAAAGCAAAACAACTCAGAAAGAATGATTGGGAAAACTTGTGTGTTTGAATGTATAAGGAATATTAATAGTTTAATATCTGAATTTGATAGCCTCAAAAAACTCTTACCCCGAAACCTGAAAAATTCCCAAGATCTGTCCCCCACAAGCAGAAAAGAGATGATTAGTAAACACAAAAGAGCAAAAGAGTTTGTTTTGTTATTTAAAAGAGGTTTGAGTTTGATTCTTACAAATCAAAGATACCCCCATGTCTGAGTAGAAATCCGGGTTTCTTGGAAGAGAAGGTTCGATTTTTATGTTTTTGACAGAAGCTGGAAAATAGTGCATGATCCCTATGAAGTCAGACGAGCCTTTAACTAGTTCAGATTCTTCCTTCGAGAAAATTGGCAGTCTTGATCCCACAGCTCTTTTCATTTCAACGGGATAGTCTCCAAATGTAAGAGGCCCAAGTATCCTAAGTTATATGTTTAAAGCCTTAGATATGTTTCCCAATTTGAAAATATCACTTTTATGTGCCTACACTCACCAGCCGTAGAAGAAATCTTTGGCTCTTTGAATTGCAATTTCATCATCCTTAGAGGAGCTTGTATAAGGAACAAATTCAAATGCATATAAGCTAAAGCCTACAGAACCACCTTGCTTATCCTGCACATTGTATAACATGTTGCTCGTTAGTCATGATCAATTCACACATCCATTATAAGGTTATGTAATATACTTATATAAACCTTGTACTTTTGCTTATACAGTCTTGAAACAGAGGCGTGTGCAAGAAGCAAGTTATGGCCTACAATGTATGTTTCAGTGGACGAGTTCCCTGATGAGCAGTTAGAACAACGACCAGGGGGGGAAGTCCCATCGTTGTAACCTCCGATAGTGAATACATTAGCCTCGTTGATCGTGGTCCAGAATTTGACGTGGTTCCCAAACTCTCTGAAACAAACATCTGCATAAGCAGTAAAGTCTTTGCTGCAATGGCAAATAATAGCAAGTTTTATCAACTTTTCTCTAGAGGTAATTAAGTAAATGCCGCGTTCTTGTTTTCTTTTGGTTATAGCTAGCTTACATGATTCTGCGGTTGATCCATCCTCCATAGTCATCCTCGAGATACTGAGGAAGATCGTAGTGGTGCAATGTAACATGTGGTTCGATTCCATGGCTGACAAGTTGTTGAATGAAGTTCTTATAGAATTGTAGACCTTTTGGGTTAACAGGACCTCTTCCATCTAGATGAGCTCATGTTATAAAGTTTGATCCTTTGAAGTTAAAATAAAAACACACACAAGAGCATGTTTGTTTGAGAAGACTTACTTGGTATAAGCCTAGACCAAGAGATAGAGAACCTGAATGCATCTAAGCCAGTTTCCACCATTAGTTTCACATCTTCCTGCACAATGAGAAAAATAAAAAGGTTTTGATGTAAATCAACTCTTGTTTGGTGAATAACATCTATAGAGAGATAGAGAAAAAACAAAAACCTTGTATTTGTGGTACCCATCACAAGCTATGTCTCCGTTTGCTAAGTTACCTATCACAAAAAAAAAAAAAAAAAAAAAAAACATACCAAAATTGGATATCAACTAAGAGTCAAGAAACACACTAATTAATTTGAGTTATCTTACTAAATTCCAAAAAAAAAAAAAAATCCAAAGAGCAAAAGAAGTTTACGAGAGTGAAGGAAAGTATCCCAAACGCTAGGCTTTTTCCCATCTTCATCAACAGCTCCTTCCCACTTTGAGAGAAAGCAGAGCAAATCAAAGATATTTCAGAAAATAATCGAAAAGTTTTACTTTGTTCTTTTTGATAACAAAATTTGCTCTCTCACCTGATAAGCAGAAGTGGCAGATCCAAAAGTGAAGCCTTCGGGGAAATCTCTCCTACTATAAACATCGCTGCATCTACCAGACAATGCAAGAAGCAGAAAAATGTAAATCACAGACAATATCACTCTCATTACGTCTCTGTTCTCTCGCAGTCTGTCTTCGTTCGCTCCATTTAAGCTAATAAGACTTTCACAAACCTACCCCCTGCTGTGTTTACTGTTTAGTGTGGAGAACTCGGAAACATTTATTTAAAAAAAAAAAAAACCCTCAAAAATAATGTCAAAAAAGTCACATTTGGACGAATAAAATATAAAGAGGGTCCAATTACAATTGGAACACGTTTAAAATTATCAAAAATATAGTCCAATTCCAATCTATGGGCATAAACTGCAAGACGTTTTGCAACCAAGACCATGTATCTCTCTGCCGACGGGTGTTCCATTGTTCCCCACTAAAGAGTATAGAATAGTTACTTACTGGAAAAAAAATATATATATATATATATAGTTACTCCATTTCTTGTTTTAATTTTTTTTTTCTTCATCGATCGTACTACTACTTAATTTTATTTATCTAGATTTTTTAGTCAAATGGTTAAACAAATATATTAATGTACAATAGTATTTTCATTGTAGTATTGTACTATAAAGTGAATATGATCTAGACATGTCCTATAAACTAGTTGATGCAGTCGCCTACCAAAAAAACTAGTTGATGCAGTCGTCGTTGCATTTGGTGACATAAAGCAACTCGTTGCATTTTCATTTTTGTACATTCTCAATTACGGCTGAAGTCTTCGTACGTTTACTAGCTAAACCGAGAATAAGATATATAATAGACATATGTTTGTCCAAGAAAGAAGATATATTAGGATATTTTAAAATTACTTCTTAATGTACAAAAAATGTCAAATAGTTTAACAAATATATGTATTTCCGTGTAACAAATGGTAAAACAAATATCATACATAATTAATTATATACGTAGTCATTTAAACTCTTAAGGTTTAATTTTGAGTTTCTTAATTGTGAAATTCCTGCTTTTTTAGCCTCACCAGTAAAGTATCTTCAGCGAGGATGTAATATGGTCTTCGACATTATTTTTCTTTCTTGTTAAAGTCTTGTATTATTGTATACAGAGAATAATCACACTTAAAAAGATTCTCATTATTTTCAATATTTGATCTAGTATTACTATTTTCTTGTTAAGTGGTCTAAGATTTTTTGTAGTGTAAATGAGTCTGCAAAGAGCGATTTTTTTCTGAAAATATATATTTTAAAGTCTGAAGTAGCAGGGTTGAACCGGACCACCATGTTATTGTTGGTGGGTCATTATGTTCCCGTGACCGTGATGCCGTGACTCTGGGCTATTTTGTATTAATGTCAACACTTTTTTCTATCTTATTCTAAAATGTCGATATATAAAAATTCGAAACTCTTTATTTTCATTGGTGGGAGAGTCATAATCATCTCATCACGTATCGTCCCAACTTGTTTTTTTTAAAAATAGTAATAAACTAATAACCAAGTTGGACAGACGGGTTGTTGTATCAATCGAGATTTGATTTTGTTCATATCTTCCAACTATTATTCATTTTAGAACCAAAAACTATTACTCAAATCATGTATTATGCAACTATACATAATTGGTTACCGAACAGTCTGGATTTTACTGTTTTTATACAATGATAGAGAGCTTTATTTTTGACGTACTTGAATGCCATAATTAGTGGAGTACATTATATATAAGTTATTGGTTTAGTGGTATAGATCCGAAAATAAAAAGCTTTTGAAATCGACAGTTATTAAATATCAAATTTTCTGGCGATGGCAACTTGATGGTCATGTTTTACTTATACATGGTCAGAGAGTTTTTTGGTCGATGATGCAGCGTAAAATTAGGATAATTTCCATTTATTTATATTTTAATTATATTATTTATTTTAGTCTTTATTTTTGGTAGAACTAGGGAGATAAGAGATAAGAGATTTCTTTCCAATTCCCTTTTTTGGAGGCCAAGTGTTTCTAGAATATTCTAGGGTTTTCTTATGTTTTATTATAAATAAGCCATTAAGGCCTCCTTTTGTAGACAGTTGATTGATTAATAAAATTAAAGAGCTTTTAGCTTTTCAGAGAAGAGTATTCTCTAAACCTTGTTTTCGGTAGATCTCGAGAGATCTCAACGATTATAAGAAGACGTAGGATTCGGTATTCGCGGAGAATCAACGAATTCCTCACGTTCTCTCGTTTCTGGTATTCCGAGGAATCAACAGATCCGAGAAACCCTAGTTTTCCGGTATTCCGAGGAATCAACAGATCTCTAGTTCTATCCTTAAAGCTTCCGCTACTTCAGTTGGTATCAGAGCTGCGTCTCTTTGATTTCTCAATCGAAGAACGATTATGGTGATCATGTTGAGTGGTAACTTTTATCCCTTTGCAGAAGAAAGTTTGTTTGAAGATGGTTACAGAGAAATCTATGGTGATCCTATCTACGATATCTATGAAGATGATGATGTCTTAGTTATTGATCATGTCGATTTTGTGTTTAGCGATGGTGGGTTCGAGAAAATCTGTGCAGAATTCAGGCAAGATACTCTTCGTGCAAAATCCGGGCGTAGTCAGATCTGCGCAAAATTCGGGTTTCCTGCAGAAATCATTGAAGATTTTGTGGATGTCGGATTCACACACTCAAGTATTTTTGTTAAGTGGGAAAGTTTATTCTTGAGGGACAAAAATGAATATATAAAAACTTATAAATTGATACGAAAATTGCTCTATTATTTTTCTCTCTTGAGAGGAAGTCCCCCTTTACATGGCCATTGGCCTTTATATTTATACATAGAGAATTGTCATTAAAATGAATAATTAAGTACAATTATTCCCTCTTAAATGTGTCCGTTTTGAATCTTCGACTTTAATGCTCAACGTTTGAATTTGAGTTGACTCTGACCTTCGCGGGCCTCGCCTTTCTGGCCCAAATATCCTTGAACCATCTTACCCATGCCTTCTTCATCGAACTCATGTCGCAATGTAATCACTTCGGATGGTCGAAGTGGTGACAACCACTTCGACCGTCCCTTCGACTCCTGGGTCCGATGGGCTTCATTCTTTATAGGCCTATTATCTTGACTACGTGGCAATCTTTGGTTGGTCTCGTACTTCTGGTGCGGGATCCGACACCAACAATTAGCCCCCAAAGTTCTTCGAAATACTATTCCAATTCGGAGGACTTTAAATGCTCAAATAGCCAAAGATTGCGCTCGAGAATCTTTCTGATTTCCCGCCGAAAATCTCATCACTCCTTTAATTTCGGCATTAGCCTTTTTTAACTGAGTGACATCTGTCATCATTATGACCGTATATTGTTTAATTACTATTAAAACGGGAAAACCTTCCCACTTCCCACACGACTTCCGAGGCGGTTTCATCATTAGCTTGAGGTAACTTCTTTTCACCATTACTCTCTTCTTTTTCTTTTGTACTTTAATCAAAAAACTCTCTCTTTTCTTCTTCACAAAAAATCTTTCTTCGCCGGATCTTGAATTTTTCATTTTTATTCGATGTCTTCTGACTCTGAAAGACCTGAATCTCCGTCTTACGACGAGAGGCGTTCTAGTAATGACGAATGCACTCGTCCTAACGACATCGCCGGTCCTCATTACAAATCCACCTGTACTCTTCAATCCCTTGAGCGATTGAAGGGGCTTTGTCAAATTCCTCCTGGAATTATAGCGGAGGCGCAAATAGCTGACCCTACGGAATCTCCTGAGAACCACCGTGCCGGCTATTTTTGCGTCTACGAAATTTACTTCAAGGGCTGCGGATTGACCTTCCCCCTTCCTGAAGCCCTAGTTCGATTCTTGGCGGCTCTCGAGATCGCTTTACCTCAATTAACCCCCAATCTCCTCCGAACCATCCTCGGGATTATAACCGTTGCGGCGGAGGCCGGCTACGTCATTGGAGTCCCCGAGCTGAATGAACTCCTAAGCGTAAGGAGTTCATCAAAGAAAACTGGGTACTTCTCAGCGTATCCAAATGCCAATAGAAACGTCATCTCGCACCTCCCGAACAAGGATGAGAACTGGCACCATCCTTGGTTCCTAATTAAGAAAACTCCCGCTTCGATTGGGAATCTTTCCGATGTACTCCCATCGAAGTGGTCTGCGAAACCTGGTAGAGACTAGGTCGCATATTCCTTTATTGTTTATTATTATTTTTTACTGACCGAATTCGTTGTTTCATTTCGCAGCTTTCATCGCTCCAACTCTCCCGACCGAAGAATTTGTCAAGTTCTTCAAAACAATCCTTGAAGGGAAAACCCTTTGGAATTCTTTCACCCTCGACCGGTTTGTCGAGGCCAACCGGAAACTCAGGATGAGTCCTCCCAATCTACTTCATCGTCTTCCGCCTCCTCCCCCCACTCAGGGAATGTCAGCTCGGGCCCTCGCTGCCCAGCGTAAGAAGCTCTCCAAGCCGATAGCAGAGGCTTGTGATGAAAACAAGGCGTTCCTTGCGACAGCCATTGACAAAAAAGATTACAGCAGAACCCTGCTGGTTGATGACAACAGCTCCGAGGGGGCCAGATCTGTTGCTGCTTATAGGTTAACACCTCGCCGTGAGCGCCGCGACGAACGTTCTCCTCGGAGAGAGCGGTCTCCTCGGAGAGAGCGGTCTCCTCGTCGTGATTCTCCTCGTCCTCCCCGAGACGATTTTAGCAACGAACCTCTTAAGAATTTGGTTCGTAAGAAGAGGGACAAGTCGTCCCGTGATGACTTGTCTCCGCGAAGGGAGAAATCAAGGCCTCGGACTGACCGTTCACCTCGATCCTCCCCTCCTACTGAACCAATGGGTCCTCCCCGTCCTGTTGACATGTCTTCTTCTTCCCAGCCCGTCAGCGAAAAGACTGCTCGGAGTGCATCCCCTAAAAGTGGAGATTCTGAATCTCGAGATGCTTCCTCGAGGCTGAAGCCTGCTCTTGTCCCTCAAGTCAAATCGCTTTCAGGTTTGGTGATTTACACATGCTTAAACTTTTTGCCTTTATTAAAATTCCATTTTTCACAATTCTTCATTCTTCGCAGCTATGGAGACAGAAGGCAGCGTCTTCCGATGCTTCAAGACCCGTTCGGGTTCGATCTTGCCAGATTTCAACAAATGGCGCCCTGCAATTCGTGAACGCTATTTGCTTCACGCTTATCATTCATCTCGGGTTAGTTCCGTTTTCTTCGTCCCCTTTTTTTTTGTTTTTATTGTATTGTCATTCTAC